AAATGTTTTTCTCTAATAGACACTGGCCACAGTTAACGGCACCCTTTTATTCAATACTTTTTTTATCTGTTGGTATTTGATAGAATCCATGATGCCATGTGTCTAAACAAGATGTCCAGGACCTCCAGCATTAATATAGGCCCACAACATCAAAAATACAGCAGTATATTTCATTGTACGCATGGGGTACTTTTTATCCCTGTGTTCACTCACAGCCTTCTTTGATCATATTTACCAAGGGTGCCGATATTTTTGGCCATGACTGTATATATAATAATACGAAATGAAAAAAAAAACAGTAAGCTGGAAATTGTAGTTATTGTAACTTCATAATTACGATGCAAAACATTACTGTACTGAAACTGTGTGATAGTGACTGGTTGGTTTGGTTGGTTTTCAACATATTCTTAAATCAGCAGAATTTGCAAATATACACATAATAGATCAAATATGCACACGATACATAGAAAACATCACAGTGTAAGGCATAAAAATGAATGTAAAATTTAATGCACTGGTGATAACTAGACCATACCTCTCTTACCATCCTTATTGTACCTTTTTATAGTGTACAGGTAAGTATTTATGGTCTTATGGTCCAATAATCAACATCAGTGATGATCATGTACATTTGTTTTTATGCTTTGCAACTTGTTTAAATATTGTTGTTTTGCCAATTCTGACACAAGGTAAATGTATCAAGCTGAATGACATAGATTAGGTTTTGTTGTTATGTTAAAGTCTGACAGTTTTTGATACTGTTACAGTTTTATTTATTTATTTGTTTGTTTGTTTCTATTTTTTTTTTATTGTGAAAATAAAAATGCAAGGCAATAACTTCCCTGTAAAAAACCCTATTGTTGCCCAAAATAATAAGTCTCTTATACCAATAGTGAACGTCTCGATTAGCATATATTTCTGTGTCACTGACAGTGCATTAATTGTAGGGGAAGTCCCTGGGGAAGAGCCGGGTTAAGTGCCCTAATCAAGTGTACAATAGCTAGAAGGCAGAACTGACATCTTAATAATACTTTGGTTTCATGGGTCACTCCTTCTCACAAATGATCCCATGACCTTTATAGCAGAAGCACTAATCCTGAAGCATTACTGTGTGCATCCACAGGCGAACAGTGGTGGAGCTTTCCAAATCATTGTCTAGAGCTGGACGGCAGTCACAAGCAAGGGATTTTAAGATTGACAGTGGAGCGGAGCAAGCAGTGAGGAAAAAATAAAAACATGATGGCAGCCATTCTCTGAGGTGAAGACGATGTCTAACACAAATTGCAAGCTGGAATGAAAAGTTAAATCAAAAAATTCATATGTCCTTATTTATTCACCCTCATGTCATTCCAAACCTGAACACTGTTAAACGCAACAGAAGCAACAACAATTCAGAGACCATGATTGTCAAGCTACCAAAAGTACACTCAGAATAAAAGGTACAAAAGTTGTTTACCCCCAAAGGGTGCATATTACTACCCAAAGTGTACATATTAGTACCTTAATGGTACATAGTAGTGTCTTTTGAAAGGATACCAGTCCAGAGAGAATTTTTGTACCTTCTATTCCATAAAGTGTGCAGAAAAAGGCCTGAAAACGCGGAATTTAGAATGAGATTTGAGAGCTGCAGCAGAGAGGAAGATTTTCAGTGAATCCCTGCATTAATTTCACACAGCAAATGCATTTTGCACGACTACGGCGTGAGTAAATGATGACCGAGCTCTCATTTCTGTGTACAGAGATCTAGCATTCGACACGTTCCATTACTGGTCAGGTGGTAAGATCACAAACTTCCCGCTGTGCAATCAGATGACGAGAGAAAGTTCCGTGTTCCCCGTGGAACTCTCTGCACATATACGGTTGCTATTGGAAACAGAGGCTTGGCAGAGCTCTGGCGGGTATAAAGTGATCTCGGCCGCTCCCAGCTCAGATCCAGTTTAAAGCACATAAATCCAGGGCGAGACCTTCACTATCAAACATCAAAACTAAAATCAATACTGCTTTCATTTCTATCCACCTTATTTTGAACATATGAGCGGGTTTCCGATGTCATTAGATTCCAGTTCATTAAGATGTACAAAAACAGCATGATATTGCAAACTGGTATATCATTTTATAATTTACCTATAGGGGCTAATGAATCAAAGTCTCATGCATTCACAGAAAAAAGCACTTTTTGTTGCATAATAAAGTGGATTGTTTTCTGTGTTTATATGTAGTAGAGGAATTGTGCTCATTGTAAATTGTGGAAATCATTTTTTTTCCCTATTAAATATTTAGATAATCAAGAGTGTTGCATTTAAAAGTCTCATTAAATGTTCTGCAGAATGACCATCAAAGGAGTTAGAAGCCGTCAAGCACTTTTTTTTTCCAAAGGCAGGCGAAAGTCTCTAAGGTCTGCACGGGGACACTTTGGCAGTGTGTTTGCTTATCAGCAACATGAAGCAGCTTTTCTAATGCTGTCATTAGAAACATTCTAATGCATGTTACTCACAGCTTGTCCTTGCGGGTTCACAGGTGTGGAGAGGCCCATATTGCATCTAGAGCAAAACGAGAAAAGAGAAAGTGAGACCGGAAGAAGCATGGAAACACAAAATTGGCATAGAAACGAGCAATGTCATCTAAGAAAACTGAAGAGAATGATATGTGAAGTGAGTTTCAGTTCTGATAGCAATGGAAATAAACTTGCACAATGAAGAAGCATGTGACATGTATGTGCAAGAGATTAAATTTGTTCTTGAGATCTGTACATGGTTGAATAAGTGCATGTCTGAGAGCATTTATAGTCGAACAGTGCCCTCTTTTTGTTTGAAGAAACAACATGTTGAAGAACAGGATAATCGGCTCATTGATCACAAACATCTGCTGCCCTCTGCTGTCAGGATCTAATGCACTTTACTCTGCAAATACTGATGTGCGAAATAAAAAGTTTTATTTATTTGTGAAATAGCAACCATATCAAACTAAATCACATTGAGGACATTGTTTATATTACTGAAAAGACAAACATCACTATTACGCCTTTCCCATATTTTGACTATATTAATGTTTAAAGTAATATTATTACTTCACCCAAAAATGAAAATTCATAATTTACTCATCCAGACCTGTATGGATTTCTTGTCTCTGCAAAACACAATATATATTTTGAAGAACACTTGAGTCCAAGCAACACTGGACCCCATTGACACTGAGGGGACAATAATTAGAAATGGCCAAATTGTCCCTCGACATTGCCCCTTGTATTTGACAAAAAGTTTTAATAATATGTACATTTTTAGGCTGGTCTGCCTCAGCGGTCTAAGTGTTTAAATGATTGAGATGACCAATCAAATCAAACAAGGTGGGCTTTACTGTTTAGTGGGGAGCATCTGTTTTTAACAGTGAAAAAGGGTGTGAGGTAAGATGTGAATACCTAAACAATTTGACAACTTTTACGATATAAATGTTAGACAGTAGTAGCCTATACAGGGATGCAAACTACTTACCCCTTATTTATTTATTGTCAAATTTTGTTGTTTTGAATTGAAAATATATGCTGCCATTTACATGATTGATATAATTCATAATTGACAAGACAATAAGTATTTTTCCTTTTCTTAACAGATTAAGCAAACGAATAATAGTCATTGCACTGGGCATCCTCCTTTTGTCAGATTTCTTGATTGATTGATTGATTTACATGATAGTGCTGTAAGCTTTCTGTATATGTTTATCTGCTACACTTTATATAATTCCATGCATTTTAAATTAAATATAAACATCTGCATAACATATAACATCCACCAGGACAAGGAGGACTTGATTAAGACATTAATATAAATTGGGGGCCCTGGAGGGCCGGTGTCCTGCAGAGTTTAGTTCCAACCTGCCTCAACACACCTGCCTGGAAGTTTCTATATGCCTAGTAATAAAAAAAAAATTCTACATGTAATCCCAGATGCGTCCACTAGATATAGACAGAGTTCAACAATTGTGATGTGCACCGTTAAATTATTAACAGCCTACACTGGCGATACCAATACATAGCCTTGTCATATATGTTGTTATATGTATAATATTTTCATAACTTACTCCTTTAGTCGTATATAAAGGTGGTTATATTATTATCGTTTCGTGAGGGACAGTAATTCCATACTATTCCATGTAATTTTCCATGCTATGTGACTAGTCAGATAAAAAAGTAGTAGAAGTAGTAGTAATAGTAATCATAACAACAACAATGATAATAATAATAATAATCGTATGATCACATTTCAGTTTTAATAACCATTATTCACATTTTTCTTCGTTGGATTAATAAAGTACTTTAATGATTTGATAAGGGACATAGCAGAATTATTTCGTTTCATTATTATTATAAATCGTATTCACAATTTCCCTCTTGGCATCATTAAAGTATATTTATCTATAAGAGCGAACCATCCATGATTTATGAGACTTCTGTGAAAGTAAACGCGCTACGCCAGTGCACAATATTCCCTGAGAACGAGCGACACGCCCCGGCAGTGAGCGCTCTCAGAATGCCTGCCTGACTCCAATAGCCTGACTTGTGTGCCGTCTACCAAACCTGACAGTTCCTGCTCCCGCCCCCTCTCCCCTGCTCCCGCCCCCTCTCCCTGTCAATCATCCGTAGCCGTGTGGAATCATCGAGTGTGCGCTCACGCAGCTGAAGTAGGAGGAGACGCTGCTGTCATCTGCAAAAAAAGTGGCATAATCCATTTTTAAAGGCAACTGGCTTTTTTTTTCCCCTTCCAGGAATTTTATTTTGCTACAAGTGTTGTGACTGAGCGCTCCGGTGATATAAAACGACACAAAAGGGAATGTTTTTGACATTATTCAGTTACTGGTTGTGAGGTAGTGACGCTTCATTCACCCGATCGGACAGCGATTCCTCCTTTTCTGAGGAGGAATCTGTTTTTCCTCCATTTGAAGGGGTGGATAAGGCTGGTAAATAGGAAAAGTGGATGTCGCGACTGTACGATCTGTACCGTTTTCACCGGGACCCGTGTTGGTGGTGAGCCGCCGCGGAGCTGTTGTGGGAGTGTCGCACGCACGCGAGGATAGTTTGCCCTGGATTTTTCAATCATTTGCGAGATAAGGCTCCCGGACCTCCTCCTCCTCGTCGTCGTCAACGCTGCCTTCCCTTCCTCATCCTCCCGGTTTTTTCTTCCTCTCTTACCTCCGTGATTTTGCCGCAGTCCGCACGCGGGGTAGAAGCTCGCGCTCACCGCGAGAGGACTGAACGCAGCGCGCGAGGCCCCCCGGCCCCTCCCCCACTCTCAAACCCACTTCAGATCATCTCCTCACCTCCCTTCTCATTTTTTCCCTTCATTTTCTTAATATTTTTCCTCAGAGGGGGAGGACTTGGGGGACTATTTCATTTTTACCAGCCTTCTTCCCAGCGGCCACCCGAGCCAAGTGATATTTTTGTGTTTTTTTCTCGTTTCTGAAGCCCCGACGAGGCCGGGCTGTGTACAGTAAAGCAGTGGGGATGACTTTAGAGTCGATGATGGCCTGCTGCCTGAGCGAAGAGGCCAAGGAGTCGAAACGAATCAACGCCGAAATCGATAAGCAACTGCGTCGGGACAAACGCGACGCGAGACGGGAGTTGAAGCTGCTCCTGCTCGGTACGAGAACCGCCGTTAAACGCACTCATACACATAAATATACAGTCAGTCGACAGGTTTCGCTGTGGTTTTCAGCGGCGACTTGTGGTACTAAACACGCCACCTCCGTTTTATCGCGGTGGCGGTTTTCTAAAGTAGAGATTAACATTTTATTCAGCAAATTTTTTTTTTTTTTTTTTTTTAATCCAAGTGAATAGTTTGCAGGCTATCAACGTTAGCGAATATGCTAAGGCGTTAGCTCGTTAGCATATGCGGGCCGAATACTGGACAGGGCCTGGCATGCAACAGCACACAAATCTCAGCATGCTCTCTGTTGTGTGCATATGCATGTACATGTACACCAGAGGTCTGCTTTTAGGCGAAATGGTTGTATACTGGCTGGTTTGTTTTTCTAGCTGTCAGTTTTTGACCCAAGTGGTCTGTTGTATGATAATGCATGTTGCATGCCGTTTGAAAGAGCTAGAGAGGAATGTGTGCAAATGAGCTATGGAAAATGACTGTACTGTATGGCAGAGTTGCTTTGCACAGTGTCAGTAAGTGCAAATTAAACGACAATGGTTTGTGTAACTGCATGAATCCTGTTGGATTACAGTATTCAAATCGTAGGTAAATCAGGCTGAGGTTTGTCAGTTGAGCGTTTATTGCTTTAGTGAAGGGAAGTATAAATGCTTTTTAGTTGGTGCAGATGATGTTTTCCCTTGATAATCTTGACAAGTTAATGAGAAAAAAATCAATTAGTATGCAAGTATCAGCCTTGAGTACAAAGCATCAATCAACGGATGCATCTTTGGAGCAATACTATGTCAGTCTGTGCCACCTGTCAAATTTGGGTCATCTCTGCACTTTTACCATTTATTCCTGGGTTGAATTATCTCAAAATGGTGGACCGTTATTGCCTTATGAGGGCGTGATTGCTCTGCACACTGGACTCTGGTTACTCCCAAGGAAGAAGAATTTGATGTTTTATCAAGCTGTGAAATTTGGTTGCTGTTCTGTCTATGACTTGGTGAGTTTGTAAGAAGTGATATCTGACACGGACAGCCTTCATTCATTTCCTTTTAGTTAGGACTGTTTTTCCGCTTGAAACCACAAAATGAGCTGCTCGTATTAAAATGGATCATACAGTATAGGGCTGCACGATTAATCGCATGCGATATTTAACGCGCATCTTGTCAGAAAGCCGGTTCTGTAATCAGCGGTAAATCTCCATCACCTGCGGGCTTTCACATTGAGCAGCATTAACTACACAGAGCCGTTGTTCACTGATGAGCTGCGCAAAAAATCGCGCGAATATGAACGTGGTTTTGCTCAATGTGAAAGCCCGCAGGTGATGGAGATTTACCGCTGATTACAGAACCGGCTTTACTGATAAGATGCGCGTTAAATATCGCATGCGATTAATCGTGCAGCCCTAATTACAGTAGGATGAAACAATGAGCTGATGACAAAGTCAGATAGGGAGAGATGGACAGAAGTGTGGGTTTTGGTGAGATGAAGTCCAAATGACCCTCGCTAAACTCCGCCCACCTTGGTTACGGTTGTCAACTCAGAGAAGCTTTAAAGAACTTCATATTGGAAAGAACTTGATTTCCACGAACAATATGAATTCTTTTCAGTAAAATGTTTTTGTTCTTTTCTGATGTTACACATCTATAGATGCACATGTTTGATGCAGAAACGTAAACCAAAGATATCTGTTGTTATCTATATCACAGAAGACTTTAGTTGACTGGTAAGCATTTGTGCAGTTTCTGTGGTTTTTAAATTAAGTTAATGTGTCATTCATGAGCATGTTTTACTGAAAATGTTAAGAGAAATTTCCAAGAGGTTTCTGGGATGTTCTGTGAAGCTAACCAGGGGAACGCAGTGTAAGGAAGGGTCATTTAAATTAAACATTCTGTTTGACATTGGTGAACCTGTATGCAAGATTATTTTACCTTTCGTTTGAAGTTGTCACCACCCAAGCTTGTCAACGCAACCCGAGCTTTGCATAAGCGTTCTTGAACTCTGGATAGGAACATGAGCACTTCTAACAGTGAATGGTTCTGAGGACACAGTGGCTCCTATGTGGATCAGTGACCTCTGTGAAAATACACAAGATTGACCTCTCTATGAGAGAATTAATAAGTAAAAGTTCTCTCCCTTTCGCTATCCCTGTGCCACCAAAGGAAGTATATATAAAAAAGCAGCTTGTTGGTGTTCAGTCATCCTATTAATGGCCCATCCTAAATAAGTTAAGACTGTCAGCCTAACTCTGGATAAGTCTTGGCTAGTCTGGATTAGCCAAGACCTTAATAGGCTTTGTGAACACATATTTGCTCCATTGCTGATACCGTAGCTGCTTTGTGTTAACCAGCATCTCACGCTGTAAAAACAGCTTAGTCTAGATGGTTAAGCTTTGGCAAATTGTGGCTATTAGTAGGACTAGGCAATATTTCAGATATTCACAATGTATATGCAATGATTTTTGGCCATAAATTCTGCAATCTTGTTTTATGGTTTGGATTAGGGCTGCACGATTAATCGAATGCGATTGTCATGCGCATTTTGAAAGATACGCATGACAATCGCAGCTTCTGTCGAATCGCGATCTCGATTCCATTTCAATTTATCGTGCAGCCCTAGTTTGGATGTATGAGAGCATTGTCTCTATGTGGCAATATTCATGTGCTAAAATATTTGATGGTAAATATTGCTGCTTATGTGTTATTTTGGTTCATCGTTCTGTTAATTTTGTGAAAATTGATATGCAGAACATGCCTTGCCACTGTATTGTATGTCTTGCATTACATATTGTGAATTTAATTGACTACAGTGGCTCTTTGGTCAAAATTATGGTTTCTCTGTTTGGCAAAATTCTGAAATAATTGTTTTAATATTTTATGCTATATGGCCCAGTCCTAATTATTTCATATTTAGCAGTAGTATATGTTAATGTTTAGTATATTTTAAGTATATGAAATCCATATGGTAGCTGCACTTTTGAAAGTTTGGTTAAAACAAAAAATGTCTATATTATGTATTTGTCAGATGCTTTTATCCAAAGCTGCACTGATTGCATATAAGATTTTTCTTTAACATATTTCTTAGTTCATACATTCCCTGGGAATCAAACGTGTGACCTTGGCGTTGCCAGTGCTCAGATCTACCTGTACTCAAACAGTAGAGCATGGCGCTAACAACACCAAGGTCATGGGTTCGATTCCCAGTGAATGCATGAACTTAGGGCTGCACAATTAATCAAATTTCTAATCGCGATTACTATTATGGATGCCACAATTACATAGCATATAAGCACTGCCCGCGTGAGGCGTGCCGCTTCCGGCTCGCACTGTTCTTTAGTAGGGCAGCACAATTAATCGAGTTTCTAATCGCGATTACAATTACAGTTGTCACAATTATGTAATCGTTCAAAGCGGCAATTAATTGTTCAAAGTCCACTTATGTTATTCTGCGTGCTTAAGATGCGTTTTTTTTCTTTCTACATGTTATCTTAAGGGTTTTCCCCATTATTTTAAATTTAGTTTTAGTATAACATTATAATACCATTCATATTTTTACTTTTTTATAATTTAAAGAAGAAATCAATCTAGGGCTGTCGCGATTCGTCGATTCTATTCGAATATTAGATTTTTTAAAATCTTCGACTTCATTTTGCCTGCGTTTGGAAGAGTCTTGATTTGATTACCACGGCAAACAGTGAGTCAATTGGTCATGTGCAGTACAGAATCTGCAAACATATCCTTGCACATGACAGCAAAAAACGTACGCAATAGGCTAAAGCGTGCCGCAAAGCCCCAGCAAAAGTAATTACCTTGAATGTGTCAGGGGGAAATAATGAGATATTTGAATTATTTATTAATAAATTAGTGTTTTCTGAGTCCATGTCGCAAAGATGAAGACGACGATCCTGATCCTGAGAAATGCATCTTTACGGATTGTATAAAATCCGTAAAAAGAGTTTTTGTTTTTATTATTTTATTATTTTATTCTGTTTAAATTAACAGGACTAACATATTATTTGCTGATTTCCTCATCAGAGGTGACTGGTTCAAAACAATAATTACTAATTGTTTTAATGTCATTGCAAAAAAATGCATTGTTATTTTAAAATAAAGTTTATGAATTCCTTGCTGTCTATGCCTAGCGCTCAAGTAATGTGCTGTGTATTGTTTGAGAACTCAAAGAGTTTTTATGTAGCTGTGACTAGAGCCCGACCGATATATCGTTTGGCCGATATGAGCCTGTCGCTGATATATCGGTATCGGTGAATATGCCGCCGATATTCTTTTTTTTTTTTTTTACAGAACATATAACGCAGGTTAAATGCTTCTGAATGGTGTAATTACTTCGTTTGTCCAGCAGAGCGTGCTCCATTGTTTGCTACTGGCGACCCAGGTCAGTGTTATGTAGAGATGCGCGGATGAGCTCAAATTTCACCCAAGTCCGCTGCTTCAAATTATCCACCCGCCCCCAACCGAACCTATATTTGATCGTCACATTACAATGATTCTAATTCTTAGTTTTGCATGATGATATGATGAATGGATGGCTCATTTTTAACAGCAGATTCAGTGACGTTAGAGACTAGAGGTGATCTGCGCATCACGGCACGCGTCTGTGGCGCATTAAAGCCTGTGTTATGGCCACCGGAGTTGATCGCGGCCATTCAGTCAATGCTGGTGATTATACCAGCTGCGCCGCAGCCCAGAACTCATGTTCATCACATCGGTCACATCACATCGC